CACCTCCGAAAGCCTCATCACGATGTCACAAGGGCGAGCCCGGAACATGAGTTCAGCCTGTCTAATGTCAATTCTATGCATATTTCTATTCACACAGGGGAATACGTTAGCTGAGAGCTATTGGCTCGTGTTCTGATCCAATGAAAAAGTGGTGGAATCATCAACCTGCTTCCGTAGCTCTTTAGTAGCTAGATGTCGTAACCCGGTTGCAGTGGAGAACCAGCGCCCTGTGTAGACCCAGGTTAAAGGACAAACCATTGCAAAACAAATGCCCAATCACAGGTGAATGAAAATACTGTATTCCTCACATGATAACCACTAAAGCGGTAGTGGTTATAAAGGTTGGAGTAACTGTATTAAATGATCTATGTTTGCATTAAACACATATATATATTCTCCCCGCAGCAGAAAAGATTTATAAACACAAAGAAAAAACTACAAACACTACATACAATCTTTGATCTGACAGATCCATCGTAATATACCGATACTTAAAGGAACACTATAGTCACCTGAACAACTTTAGCTTAATGAAGCAGTTTTGGTGTATAGAACATGCCCCTGCAGCCTCACTGCTCAATCCTCTGCCATTTAGGAGTTAAATCCATTTGTTTATAAACCCTAGTCACACCTCCCTGCATTTGACTTGCACAGCCTTCCATAAACACTTCCTGTAAAGAGAGCCCTACTTAGGCTTTCTTTATTGCAAGTTCTGTTTAATTAAGATTTTCTTGTCCCCTGCTATGTTAATAGCTTGCTAGACCCTGCAAGAGCCTCATGTATGGGATTAAAGTTCAATTTAGAGATTGAGATACAATTATTTAAGGTAAATTACATCTGTTTGAAAGTGAAACCAGTTTTGTTTTTTTCATGCAGTCTCTGTCAATCATAGCCAGGGGAGGTGTGGCTAGGGCTGCATAAACAGAAATAAAGTGATTTAACTCCTAAATGACAGTGAATTGAGCAGTGAAATTGCAAGGGAATGATCTATACACTAAAACTGCTTTATTTAGCTAAAGTAATTTAGGTGACTATAGTGTTCCTTGAAAATACAGTATGTATATATTCAGGTTAATCTTGTATATTTTAGTTTCAGGCTCTGAAGACATTTAAAGAAACATTATATTTTAAAATGAATTTAACCACTAATTCAGTCCCATCTTTTTAATCATGTATTGATAATCATTTAAAATGAAACTTGAAATTTATGAAACATGTTACATTAAATAACAGAGCATGTAGTCTGTCTACATTATGCGTACTTTCATGAAACTGTTGTCTTTTTTTCCCCCCTTTTTTTTTTTTTCTTTATTTTTGTAGTGCATAGGCATATAACAGATGCATGTGAGGTACCCCAAAGGCATTCCTCTAGCACAATACGAACAGTGGAACATAGGGGTACAAGGGAGATCAAGCACATTTTTATATATATAAGGGTAGAAACAGTATAGCTTTACTTTGTTTAGGCATTTGCATAACGATTGCATAACATAACTTTCTGGGCATGTGATTGTTTTGCAGTGGCAAGAGATGGTCAAGCTATGAGTAAGTTACTACATGCGTTAAGGAAAGGCTGAGTGAGTCAAAAGATTGGTTATTGCTAGTGGCAGCAGCAGGAGATATGGTGGTAAGATATGCTGTGACATGGCTGACCTAAGTTAGTAACGTGTCGGGTTGGACACCATCATGGCAGGCTGGTATGTCTACCTATACGTGGGTGTTTAGCTTATGAGTAACTAGAACCTTCTTAGCCATTAAGGCTATAGATTAGTGGTCCCACGGATAAGTGTGCTGGACCAACTCTGGTGGCAGGGTATCGAGATTATACTCGGAGAGGCTTGGTAGGTGATTGCTGCGTCCCAAGTGGCATTCCCCCCGTGGTCCCTAGCGTTGACAGGGCCATGTGCCATGCCGGGTTGCTGTATGCAAGTGCCCAGCACCAATGGGACATTGGGCTTAGTGTTTAGTTGGCGGCAGTGGCGCTGGCTTTACATTAAGTGTGTAGGTGCCATTGTGGGGCATACATGGAGCAAAAGAAAGTTGAATATGCAACTCGTAAAAAAAAAAAAAAAAGAAGGTACATATTTACACTCTTGTCATAAATAGAGTCCTCCACTGTCTGCGGTTAGGTATGTCTGCTGTGTCGGTCGAGTCCCCTAGCCAACTCCAGCTCTCAGGGCGTGCAGTCTGGTTGCAGGGATCTTCTTGGTGTTATAGAGTGTCCAGCCTCTTCGTTCGATGCATGGGGTCTCTGCGTTGATATAGGCATGGCCCCATTCCGGTGGGGTGGACCTGCCAACGTGAAAGAGTCTGCGTGAGGTGATGTGTCGCCGGCTGTGGTGTCGCCTCCGTGGTATGCCAGGGCCTACCTCCGAGTGTTGTCGGTAGGGGTGTTGCGGTGTGGTCTGCCTGGGGCCCTTCGCCCCTGTCCGGTCCCCGTTTAGCGCAGTGTGTCGCTGCAGCGGGACCGCCTTTTCATGCCTCCCAGGTATGTTAAGTTTTGCCGGGCCCTTGTATGAGCGGGTCATCGCCATAGGTATTGGTAGTCGCTTGGGTTTACGGGCTTTTCGGTTTTGCCATCCGCAGGCTTTGTTGGCGCGAGGCGGTGTGCACGTTTGTTGGGGGATCACCGGCAGGACTGTGACAGGGTGGTATGCCTTGGCCTGTTGCTCCCTGGAGGCTATTGTCCTCCAGAACCTGGCGAACAGCTCATCCAGCCTGGTCTCAAGGTCAAGTTTCTTTGTGCCTCGGGCACACGTGGCGGCGGCCATTTCGGTCTCCATCTTGTCACTAGCGGTTTGCTGGTTGGGGATGCGATTTAGGCTGCTGCCGTCTTCTGCATTCCGTGTAAGCTTGTCGTACTCGATTGTGTGGACCGGGATAACCCCCGCCGGTCCCGAGGGGGGGGGAGAAGCCCGATGCTTCGGGTGCTGCCTTGTTAGGTGAGCCGGGAGAGCGGCCGTCTCTCCCCTGCTCTGCATGTTGTAGGCCCCAAGCCTCCGGTCTGGATTCCCAGCGGGCTTTTGAACGTGTGAGGTGTCCCCCGGTACCCCTGCCTCCATGTAGCAAGGTGGGGTAAGTTGGGGTTCTGAGATAGGCTGTATTCCCACTGTTTTCTGCCAAAAATCAGATTCAGGCCTGGGAGCTCACAGAAAGCGTGTCTGTTCAGCTCCCCGGTCAGGCCCCGCCCCCTTTTCCCCCTTTAAAAAAAATTATATTTAATATTTGTGTCCATTTACCCCGGTTACATACATATATTTACAATTCAGCCTTACGTCCCCTAATGAAAAATAAATTAACTGAAACAACCCCTTGGAGAACACGGAGATTATGTGGATAAAGAGATAAAATAGTGTGCTCTCTTATGTGATAAAATTACTATTGTTTAAATGTAAAACTAAATCCTAATAAAAACTAAATATAAAACATATTCTCCACCACTTCTATGCTGGTCCCCGCCTGACAGATAAACAATTTTCTCCCTGGTGATTTGGTCAGTCCCTCTGTGTCTCACAGGGGGGGGCTCCATATGATATCAAACTACAGCGCTACGGAATTTGCTGGCACTATATAAATAATAAAATAAATATTATTATAATATAGTGTAACAATACAAAATTCTAAAGGGAAGGGGGGAGTTCTGTTCACAAACAGTGCTATTTCAATGCCTTTAAAAAGATAATGTTGTCACGTTTTATCCCCAAATCTGTATTTGCTGTATAAGAAACATTCACATATGGAAGGCTGGGCCTGAAGTTGTGGGAGGGACCTGGTTTTCTTTCTAAAGGAGAACCAGTCCCCTCCTCACTACCGTCTTAGGTCTGGCCATTTACCTCGTGGGAACGTGTACCTGGTCTACAGCCACCTGGTCATCCATCTAGGTGCTTCCTGACCCGCCAGAGCCTCATCCAGGATCAGCCTCAATACCGGGATATCTGCTCCTACTCCAGTCACAGACCTTCCATTCCCCAGCAATCGCGTCGCGATCGTGTTGTATAATCCATAAGTCACTAGTCGCAGGCGCACAGCGTCATCCTGGGATGGCCCTATACTTCCTCCCATTTCGTGCTTCTATGTTAGGTTTAATGTCGGGTCTTTCGTGGCCATACGAACGGTCAGGTTAAATACTGCCGGGAGCATGTGCACGAACGCTCCGGCTCGACATACGAATTAATAACAAATGTACGGTAATTCCTGCACTGCACTTTGCATAGGTTTCGTGGTTTAAAGTGTTCAGTGATATTCTCAACCGCATTAGCCATCGTATATGTTTTAACCGAACGGCCAATGTTTGCATTAATACACTCGATTTTCATACGAATGGCACATTTGTCACCATGTTAAATTGGTTAAAGTCATACAACACAGTACTGATTACTTGTGCTTAGGACTCATTAATAAACCTACAATTACGTTTCCTTCTAGGTATTCCTATTGTACTACTATTGTAACTCCTATTGTAGTTGATCCAGGTCTCTTTTGTTCATACTATAGGTACGGTTATCTCCCTACCATACTTGATTTACTCTCCGGGGGGCGGTTAGGTGGGTGTTACAGGTATGCAATCAATCATGTAGATTCATTTTAGGTTTCAGTCCCACGAAGCGCTCAGCATTTAAGCAACATCACTTATGTTATCTTACGCGATTCACCATTTACCATGTATTAGTGGTTACTGTTATTCTGGCCCATATACAGTCTCATTAGTCTTCCAGTACTTATGTTACATTTTCTACATTACTAGGTACTAGGCCATTCAAGTCTTCTGCCAAGTCCTTTAATGCTGGTTGAACTTTTGCTTAAGTGATATACCGGTAGGTATCTTTATAGTAATAATATGTATAGTGTACAATACGATATGAACACTACAAGCCTATCGTTACTCTCATAGGTATTACAGAGGTCTGTTTCAACAGAACTCCCTCCCTTCTATAAATTCATCAGGTAAGTCAATCCCCATTTCTGACCTTACCCTCCAATTCCTTGCTGGTTTTTCTGTAGATAGGTTCATACTGGCTGGTTAAGAATAACAGGTCACTAGTTAAATTTATTTATAGGCCTTCTATGCCTTAGCGTAGCGTAGTATCAACGTTCTTTCTCTGCAAGGGCGTCTGCATCGCTGGCACAGTTCAACTACCAGGCAGACTGGAGCATGCTGGATACGGAACTGTTTTGCAGACACTTTGCGGGCCTCAAGACTTCAGCTTGTTATATCTGCTCATCTGCTTCCCACACAGCAAACTTATGCCCAAACACCCTGGAAGTGAGTGCCTTCTACCCAAACTTCATCCCGACTACGACATTTAGACAAGACAAGGTTCACAAAGACAAATTAGAACAGAATATCATGTTTTAGGCAGTTCTCAAATTTGTAACAATTTTAATGCAGGCACCTGCGGTTACAGTGCCTAAAGACTGTTACACATATACTCACAGTGTTTCCGGGCCCATGCCAAGACTATGTTCCCTAATAAATTATACCCAAAGCCTTACCTATAGCGGTGGGGGCTAGGGACGACAACAATAGATTCCCCCCTTATTGTTATTTAGGGCCCCTACCTGCCACTCAGGGGTGGGGGCTGGGGAGAGGACAATAGGCCCCCCCACATTTTAATTTGGGCCCCACCTGGCGCTCAGGGGTGGAGGTCAGAGGGAGGACAATAGGTCCCCCCCATTGTTATTAAGGGGCCCCTCCTGCTGCTCAGGGGTGGAGTTCAGGGGGGCAATAGGTCCCCCCTTCAGTTTAATAGCCCCCACTCGTGTGGCACGGGTGGGGGCTCGAGTGCCACAGGCAGCTCATTGTTTAGTAGACATGCCAGAATTTACTAATACTAAGTAATCTTTACTCAGTATTAAGTAAATGACGTGTTTCGCCTGAGTTAGAAGCTCATCAGGGGGACCTAACTCCCCAGTTTGGTAGGGTTTAAAAAGCCCGCTCCTGAACCCCATTGGTCATGTTTGGGATCAGGGGGAGGTGCAAGCATACGGTAGCCAAAATTACTCGAAAAGTCTATCTTCCTGAACCCCCTAAATTGAAGTCAATACATAGGATCCCAAAAAGGATCAGTGTCTCATTGTCTGTTTCACTCGAGGTATCAAGTGATAATGGTATTACAAGCAGGGACCTAGTGTTAAATGGAATTTTGTCGAACATGTGTCAAAAGATAATAGATAATGTCTGTAATAAAGTTTAAATCATTAGCATTAAAGTGTGTCTATATTGACCCAAATCAATGTCACTAAAAAGATATCAATATTAATAATTGAGTTGGAGTTTTCCGTCAATATTAATACGATTACTTAGCGTGGCATAGGAGACACAGTATGTGCTAGATCGCAATTTAAGAGTTAAAATTGCAATATGGGTTATTTGACACATGATAGTATACTATCCGGAGAATTATAAACGGCAAAACCGTATGTAAAAGTTATGTGATAGTGAGATTTATTTTTTGCAGTCTGAATGATTTCAATTGGTAACAGAAAAAAATATATTATGTAGATGTAATGCAATGCCAACCTAAAGAAGAATATACATTTAAAAAAAAACCATTAATGATGACTAGTGATGTCGCGAACCGTTTGCGAACTTGCCGCGAACGGTTCGCCACGAACTCCGGTCAGCTTACACATCCCTGCCAATCTCCGGCAGACCCTCCCTCCCAGACCCTCCTACTTCCTGGACAGCATCCATGTTGAAGGCAGCTTCAACATGGATGCTGTCCAGAAGGTGGGAGGGTCAGGGAGGGAGGGTCTGCCGGAGATTGGCAGGGATGTGTCAGCTGACTGGAGTTCACCGCGAATCGTGGAGAACCGTTCGCGGCAAGTTCGCGACATCACTAATGATGACTAGTATTCTTAGGATAAATTAAATCATAAATTGGTCAGGAAGTTAGTATCCAGATCCTGAGAGAGGAAGAGAAGAGGAATCGATTAAAGAAAGGTAAGTTCGGCATGACAGTGCCGCTTTAAGTAAGAGATATCTAAACAAACATTGGGCATTACTGCAAACACAGGAAACCATTTTAAACAAGTATTGAAAAGCACACAGAGGAAAAGAGGACTCTTTTTTATCATTTCAAAGAACAAAGCAACTGATGTAGGGTAGGTGTGCCCAAAATGTAGATCCCCAGATGTTTTAGAACTACAGCTTCTATAATTATTTGTCATTCTTAAAGCATGCAAAGCATCATGGGAGTTATAGTTCCACAACATTTGGGGATCTCCCTTTTGGGGCAGCCCTCAAGTAGGGTCATTCCATTATTACATATTTGGTGAGTATAGAGACTAATGGATGTACACAGTTAAAATATTTTTTTTAAAAACCAAACAAACAACAAAACCTTTAGCATGCATTGTTTATGTTTTTAAGTTGAATTACTTTGGCATGGTGACATGCAATTAACCCAACCAGGGGTGTATATTGAGTGTATCGCCTGCTACAGTGCCTCCGATAAACTCACCTCACCTGATTTTACCTATGCTAAAGTAAGGCTGTGGCCTCCCTCAGAGGGTCATAGGTTGAGGATGGACAGAGCTTTCAGATGGCACACTCACCCCGTCCTGACACTTTCATATTCTTTAAAGTTTTTTGTACATTACCCAACTGTTTATGTCTCGTCTGTTGATATACATCTTTCAATCTACTGCCTTGACCATTTTGGGTCTTATTCCCTATTTGCCTATCGTGAGGACCTCGTTGGTGTACTCTCACTCTTTGTACAAGCTTACAATGCCTATTTAGCACTACTCTTATCTGTCTAAGCACCCAGTACAAATGTTATGTCCTACCTGCTTTCCTCATGAAACTCACTATGCATTGTGTTACACTCATTCTAATCCCTAATGTAAAAAAAGTGCAGCTTTTCTTACTGTTTGATCGATAATCTTCAATGTGATTCATGTTCTTGAATTTGTAAAATAATCACTGCACAGAAAAAATAAAGAATTGCAAAAAAATGTTGTATGTCACCCTACTGAGGTACAGTTGTGCACTAAATTGTGTTGGAATTGTACTACGAAGGATCCTGATGTATATGAGGTGACCACATGCACCCACTAGTGGGCTCACCACAAAAAAGTATATACAGTTAAAGGATTGGGAAAGACTGAAGCAGGAAGAGAATAGAAAATAAAACACAATAGGGAGAACTGGATATAAAAAAAAAATTCTGATAGTTATTCACGTGGAATTCCAAAATGCACTGACCTTGCAGCATATGAGTTACAGTAACACTAAATATGTCAACATTTTACGGTGGAATAATAACCATGGTTCTGATGCCTGATGAAGAATGCGATGGGGATATGTCCTCTTTTACTAGAGATCAGAGGGTTAAACAAGAACCTCAGAATGTCAGAAGTAGTCAAGTCTTGCCTGAGTTTTTCCAGCCATGAATCAACATAAGAACTTCACAAAATCTGGTCAAAAGAAGGAGGCTCAACGTATCTTATCTACCACAGGTGATTAAAATGTTTTACTGAGTTACGCAAACACTCAGAGTATAGTAGATTTAAAGAAACGCTATAGCATTAGAAATTAAAGCATGGATTCCGAACGCTATGGTGTCTCCTCACTGTGTAGATTCTAGGCTCCCCTAAATTAAGTTTAAAAAAAATGAAAAAAGGTTTAAACTCACCCTTTTTCCACCGCCGTGACTCACTTGGTGCAGCCGCCCAATCATTCTCCAGCAGGCGTTGCTCCTCACAGAGAGGCATTAGTCTGAGTGCAATACTTGTTTTTATGCATTTGTATTAAAGGACCACTCTAGTGCCAGGAAAACATACTCGTTTTCCTGGCATTCATAGTGCCCCCTGGAGGGTGCTCAAATTGTCCCTCCTGCTTCTGCTCCCGGAAAAGGGGTTAAAACTTACCTTTTCCCCAGCGCTGGGCTTATACCTCCCTCCGCTCCTCCTCTCCTCCCCTCGAAATTACACGCCGCCAGCGCAGCATTCATAATGCTTTCCTATGGACGCGCGTGCTCTCACTGTGAAAATCACGGTGAGAAGCATGCAAGCGCCTCTAGCGGCTGTCAATGAGACAGCCGCTAGAGGAAATAGGGGAAGGCTTAACCCATTCATAAACATAGCAGTTTCTCTGAAACTGCTATGTTTATGAAAAAATGGGTTAACCCTAGCTGGATCTGGCACCCAGACCACTTCATTAAGCTGAAGTGGTCTGGGTGCCTAGAGTGGTCCTTTAACCATTAGAGTTGTATTTAGCACGGTGATGGAAATTGCAGGGTTACAGGTTAAAACTTGCAAGGTTTAAGCTACAGGGCCACTTGACCTATACCAGTTCATTGAAATAAAGAGGTCTAGGTGCTTTTAGCTGTCTTTTAATGTATTCTGCCTTCATTTTGACTGGCAGCACAATCCCATGATAAATGATAATATCGCAGATAAAATAAATATAATTTAGTTGCTTGAAGTTTTTAAGAAAACCTTTTAACACCATGAGTGCAGTCAATAAACAGCAGGCAGTGTGTTTAATGTACTCTGATATGAAGAGTCGGCCATCGACCCAGCTGTATCTATAAGATCTTAAGAAATGTCTAGTCCATAGACACCACTGTCTCTATTCAATAAAACACTTATTCCAAAATTCCTGCATGGACTGAGATCCCTGGGGACAATATTATTTGATCCTACCTTACAGACAATCTGATTTTTTTTGATTTTTTTTTAGAATCCAGAAAAAGATTATCGGCTTTTTGCATCAAAAGACAATCAAGCAGTCACAAAAGTTAGATGCCAACAGGAGGAACATTTTAAATTTTTTTAGAAGGCTCCTGGGAATCCTTAAACCTTGTTTAAAGTGAACGAATGTCTTGGCAATTTTAATATGTATTCAATCTTTATAATAAAAAAGGCCTCTTTTAATTTGGATTGTTTTTAACAACCAGCGTGGCTAGAATTAAAGGGGAACTCTCACATCCCAAAACTCTTTATATTATGTTTACTTATCCCTATATTTAACAAACAATGTTTGTTAGATCAGTAAAAAAAAAAAAAAAATTAACTGAATAATCTGTTACAATCCTGGCTCCTTGACATTTAGTATCCTTTGTACTTGTCAGTCAGAATAGAGAAAGCAACAATTCTATTTTGCCATCTCCAATGTAATGGCTCTGCCAGTGAACTGATTTTGGAGTCAAATACTAAATCGTTAATAAGAAGATACGTGCAGAGATACTAAAAAAAAAAAAAAGTGACAGACCAGTTCAGAGTGCTGTAGAAAACCAATTTTTTATCTTTCCCACTAATTATAGGAAAGTTGCAGTGGCAGTAACCTGTGCATTTTACAGAAACAGATCAACGTGGTCCTTAAAGTGAAACTGTTACATTTTTAACATTATGCATACTTATCCATATAATGTACAAACATGTCTTTGTAAGGTCTTGCAAATAAAATTAAACATATAAATCTATTACCTCTATCCCTGAACTGAGTGTCCCCATTTTGGCTCCACGTTAATCATTGTTATAAATGCAGTTCTTTGCACCCGTAAGTCAGCGTAGAAAGAGCTTTGAAAAAGTTGGGTAAACAGAAATCATGTTTCTGTCAGTTGCTAAATCTTGTTAGTTGCTTTATGCACATTTAACATAAAACGCAGCATCAAGTGAACAAATGGTTAGCACAAATTAAAGCTGACTTTTTTAATGTTTCATTGATTCATTCATGACTTAATTTCCAGAGAACTCACGGTTTCCTGTTAACATTATCCTAATTATTTGAATAAACCCCTGACCCGTATATTTTTACGTAAACATGAATGATTCGTGATTGCATGTTGAAATTGAAGTACTACTTTTATTGAAATCTGTTGAGAAGATCTTATTTGACAATCACTGGATATCCAGTTTTGTATTGTGTTAGGTACTGTAGGCTGAATATATATATATATATATATATATATATATTTTATTATTCTTTATTTATTGCAAGACAGGATGACAAATACAGCAGATACATAACATCCGTTAACTTTATACAGACACGTATTAGTATATGTTCCTCAACCGACAGTTGGACGTGTAAAGGCATCTAAAGCGATGTCGTGAGCGGTATAACATGTAAAAGTCCGCAGATCGAGGTCTTACTGTTTGTTTACGGTCCATATTGAGATTGTGCCACATCCGACAACCTGCCCTGATTTTTGATATAGATAAAAGGAAAATGCGTACAACCACGTCAACGTTTTGGCTGAATATATTATTATTATTAAAAACAATTTATAATTCAAGGGTAATAGTAATGGAAGTAATGGAGAATAAGAATACACGTAAAAGTACCTTGAGTATTCTTTATGGATATATTCACGGTAGTTAATGTTTAGTTCCTATAAAACATAAACATAACAAACTAAACATAGTGCAGACTGTAATTAAAAATTGGTATATATATATAAGCTTGTGAGTACCCCATCTCAGTTATCCTTTACACATAAGATCTACGGTATTGCACCATATGTGCTCTTTCATCCTTATAGGAAACAAGAGAAAGGAGTATTCGCATTAAAGAAGGGTGAGGGTTGCCTTTACGGATCCCAAGAGCGCTACTATTGACCTATTATAATCCAGCTCCTAAAATTGTGAGTGGGAATTCTTCCTTTTCCTTGTTTATATACCAATTTTTAATTACAGTCTGCACTATGTTTGGTTTGTTATGTTTATGTTTTATAGGAACTAAACATTAACTACCGTGAATATATCCATAAAGAATACTCAAGGTACTTCTACGTGTATTCTTATTCTCCATTACTTCCATTACTATTACCCTC